CTCCCACAAGGATGATAAAAACATCAAATCATCGGGGCCTCCCCTGGGCAACATCCTTGCAGACGGCCAATTCTCTCACACCAGAAGTGACTTGCAGTTTCTCAAGTCGCTCCTGACATGACAAAAAAAAAACCCTACTTCAGCCAGCCCTAGAACCACAATTTAGATTGAGTTAGCTCTGCCTTTATTTCACTGAGAAGCACAGTTCCAATCAATGTTTCCACAGTTAATAGAAGATAGCGCTTCCTGGTCACTTCCTCCACACCTTCCTTTCTTGATGCTCTTTGCTCCTATGGAAATTAGATTGTAACCCAAGATTCATTCCTCTGCTGTCTGAACTCTTATTGCTTTAGTTTAGATTATAGTCTGGATGTGTGCTTTCGTCAGCAGTTTCACAGTTCCTTTCTCCTACCAAATTAATTGCTCTCCACATTTCTGTTCTCCAGTATATTCTCTCTCTTGCAAACACATACAAAATGTATCACACTTTCAACCCATCACATAAAAACAAAGATATGTGTGTCTCTCTGTGTCTGGACACACGCATGCCTTAACCGTTCTCCAGCTCCTAAGTTTGCTTCTGGAAAAGACCAGAAAAGATAAAGTTCTTGCCCTTATTAAATATTTATCAGTTAATTACAATATGTAGATTGCACCAGTGGGCCATTCATCTTTTAAGGAAGGATACAATAAAATATAGTGGAAAGTTGTGTTATCGTAATTGCCTGATGCCACAGGAAACAACTAGAGCCTCTGCAATGTATTTTACATTTATCTGCACCACTGATTTTTCATTTTGTGCACAACGCTGCCTCGGTTGTTGTTCCACAGATACTTAATGTTTGCAAACTCGGCATTTTCTTAGGTCTCTGTTTGCAGGAAGAGAGTTGTTATCACAGCAGCCTCCACGCAAGCTCTTTCTTCATCCCCTGCCATCTTTCAAGAGTACTAAAACCCTTTGACTTTAGAAAATTACGTCTACCTTCTTTCTTCCTTGTTTGCAGCTTGGAAGTGACTGAAATCAGAACTCAGCAGCCAGGTCCACATGGTAGCCTGCATTTCAAGTAAATCTCAGCTTTCTAAACACAGAAGACTTTCATACTACAAGTTTCATACTACAGGGGAGCTTTTGCACAATTAAAACTTGTGCACCAGTTGTGCACCCCCACTTTCTCCCTTCAAATGCTGCAAACTGATGACAAAGTACAAATGTTATTTGCATTCAATTATGGTAATTCAGCAGGGGGAGAGGACAGACGGGATAGAATTGTGTCCTTCCCAGTACATTAAATGAAAAGCAACCTGCTGCAGTCCCCCTTAGTTTATGTGTTCTCTTTCATTAGTAACTTCATCTTGATCATATGCTGTAGTTACTTATCTATGAGCCCAGTGGGTATTACAGAGTGTGTCGTAGATTCAATCAGAGAAGAGAAAAGACAACTGTAAGGCTATTGATGAGACACTTTGCTGAGCTAGAGTATTTTTTCTCCCACACATTTCTGTGCAAACTTGAGAAAAAAGGCAATGCACAAGCAGCCTCTGAGCAATATAAAAATAATTTCCAACCATTTCAGAATTTCTGGGGTGCTTCCAAATTTTTCTGCAGATTTGGAGCTTCCAAATTACTCACCTTCTTTCTGGAGAGGGGGAAGTGGAAACTGTAGGTTGAAAGAATAACCTTCCTAAGCTCGGCAAATATTATAAAATCACACAATTTAAAAAGTCCTTAGATAATCTGGTCTCCTCCCAATGCAGCATCTGCAGTGATGATGATGATGATGATGATGATGATGATGATGATGATGATGATGATAATTTTATTTCTTACCCGCCTGTCCTCATGGCTCAAGGCAGGTAACGGGAATTAGACTCCCCCATGCATGGCCAACTGGCTTCTACTGAAATAATCCATCAAAGGAAAGCCCTCCATGTCCCAAGGCACCCACAAGCCAACTTCTCCTAATGGTTAACCCCAAAATGTGAATACAGAGCAGTCACTTTGCTGTTACTGAGCAAGTCCCAGTCTGGTGAATCCTGACATCCTAAGAAACCATGAACATTCCTTGAATTCCACAATAGAAGAGATGCAGTGTGTATTCAAGCAAATGTTGGACTGCATTGGCCTTGATGAATGGCCACACAGAATTTCAAAAATCATCTCTACTCACATGCAAACCTTTTTATCTGGAAATAGACACTGTGTGCTTTAGTATTTTAGGCCTTGCAAAATCATTCGTGTAAACAAGAGATGGGAAATAACCATCCCTCTAGTTTCGGTGGACTGCAACTCCTATCAGCCCCACATCATCAGTGACTAAATTCACCAGAACTATTAGTATTTTCAGTCACACAACATATACAGGGCCACAAGTTGCACCACACCTGAAACTTACTGTAGCAATTCAAAGTCTGCAATTACACATAAGATGGAAGTACTGAGAGAAGACATGCCCAAACAAATTACCTTAAAAATTAATGGTTTGTTTTTATTGTATAGTTTATAAAAGAAGGTATAATCTCCAAAGTTCTCAGCAACTGGAGATATCAAACATTTGATAACTGTGGGTTAAGTGCAGTAATATTAACCCAGCAAGCTTGTACTTAACAAAGTTATCTTAAAAGGATCAGCCGACTTATGATCTTACCAAAACTCAGCACTTTTATTTTCTCTCAATTTAGTATCGGAGAATAAAACTTGTGGTTTCATAGAATCATAGAATCAAAGAGTTGGAAGAGACCTCATGGGCCATCCAGTCCAACCCCATTCTGCCAAGAAGCAGGAATATTGCATTCAAATCACCCCTGACTGATGGCCATCCAGCCTCTGTTTAAAAGCTTCCAAAGAAGGAGCCTCCACCACACTCCGGGGCAGAGAGTTCCACTGCTGAACGGCTCTCACAGTCAGGAAGTTCTTCCTCATGTTCAGATGGAATCTCCTCTCCTGTAGTTTGAAGCCATTGTTCCGCGTCCTAGTCTCCAGGGAAGCAGAAAACAAGCTTGCTCCCTTGTAGGTTTCTTTTCCTACAAATCAGTTGAACTAAGGGCCTTTCCACACAGCCACAGAACCCAGAATATCAAGGCAAATAATCCACAATATCTGCTTTGAACTGGATTATTTGAGTTCACACTACCATATAACACAGTTCAATGTGGAATTTATGCCATTTTTGGAAGGGGCCTAAATAGAGCTATGATCTGGCTGTATTGAAATCTGGAACTTAAAACTGCAATAAATTCAGTATGTCAAAAAAATCTAATTTATATATATTTTATCAACTATTTTAGCCTGAGCATTGAGTTTACCCGTCCTTGATTCCAGCTGGATGACAGGAGGCATGACCTCAGCATACTGCATTTCTAATAAACACTGGTAAGCTAATAGCCATTGGTAGGTTGGCAGAGAACAGAAGGGATCTGCCTTTGTGTGGCTGAAGCATCAAGCTGGGGTTACTGAGATACTTTGGCACCAAAACCAGACTCCGCTCTGTTGCTCCCTCCACCCACCGATGCCTCTGGACTATTTTAGCCACATGGACCCTGCATCTTGTTGCACATGTCTTTTGACTGAGACATGTCCTATCAGACGCCATTGTAAGGATAGATGGGACATCTTTCTAAACTGTAGTCCCAGGAAATGGAAGAGGCTTAATGGAAGGCAGGGGCCAGTTGGCGAAAGGCGAAGTATAGGGGGCAGGAGGGGGAGACACACAAGCAGGCTAAGCTCCGGAGCTGCATACTAACTGGGAGATGAAAGAGTTAGAGGCCTTCTGAAGTACGTGCTGTCTCAATGATTAATGGGGGTGAGAGAAGGGTGAGGCCCAGCCCCTAGTAAACTACAAGATGGCAAAGTGATTCTAAGAACAACAGAGCAGTGTTCATGGAGAAAAGCATGTCTGCGGACGCCAAGAAAATCTCCCGGTGCTGTTTTTAAAAAGCCTCTTTATTTCTAGTATCAAAACGGTACATTAAAATAGATGCCAAGAGTCATGTAATCATTAAAAATAAACCAACAGGATGCATAACATACAGTGAAAAAACATCACTCAAGGCAAGCGGCAAGGTTGAAAGTTGGTGCCTCTTTGAAAGCATTCTGATTCTGCTGCAATGCTAACCATAAAACAATTCACACAAGGGGCAGCCATCAGGTGGGTATTTCTTCAACCATCAGGCTAGGAATAGCAGTTCTGGATGCTCCTGCTTGTTTTCAACTGAAACAAAATCTTAAAATGTGGCCTTCCATTTTCAAGTTTCATCTTTTTAGGGTAGATGTAGAGCAGAAGATCTTTAGCAAGGTCTCCTCTGAATGGATTTGCAAAATTTGTGGTGGGGTTTGCCCCTGATTTCTCTCTAGGCTTTTCAAGATATTGCATACTCTTCAGAGATGGTACTCTTGACCAGAGTGTGGTCAAGATACCAAAAGGTATTAATAAAGAACACACAAACTAGGAAAAGCTACAGCAACTTGCTTTTGTCTACATTTACAGGGGAGAGCAAGATTCTGCCCCTTCTCACTTTTTAACCTGAGCATTGAATTTACCTCATTTTACTTTTACATTTTGAACTCAACAATCAAAGTAAGCTGGAGACAAAGGGGTGTGGGGAGAGAAATTGGGGCATTTTAGATACAGCTGAGAAAGTGGAATGACAAAGGATGAATCAGGACTGTCCCTGCCTAATTGGAACAGTTTGAAGTTGTTATGCATTGAGCAAAGTTATAGTGGAGTCAGGACTCAGAGTTGGAGCATCAAGACTCTTTAGGATAGTTGGGATCATGATATTGGCCCCCTCTACACTGCCATATAATCCAGATTATCAAAGCAGATAATCCACATTATTTGCTTTGAACTGGATTATCTGTCTATGCTGCCATATAATCCAGTTCGAAGCAGATAATCTGGATTTTATATGGCAGTGGAATGGGCCATCATCTGCCATCACAACAATTTCGAGTTTTTCATGTACCCTCAAAACTCACTGTATTTTTTCCTACTGAGATGTCACATAAGATATTCCTTAGACAGGCAATTAAGACTTCTTAGCTTTGCAAAAGACCAGCCTCTATTGAAGATTTAAACCAGTGGTTCCCAACCTTTTTTTGACCAGGGACCACTTTCCAACACTAGTACCAAAAGGGTTACAAATCGGTATTGGTCAACTTTAGATTCAGTTTGGTTATTTGGAGTACTGATTCTGAAAATTGCATTGGATAGATCACATCAGCTCTAGTTTCTGATACAGAACATATGCCATCTGCTTGCTGATAAAAAAACTTATTTAATAATCTAGAGCTGATGTGGTAGTAGTAATCTTTTGTAGATAGTCAGCCTCTCCCTCCTGGCATCCCCATTGTCTCGACATTATAACAGGGTTTCATGAGACAAGTCTCTCCCGTTGTTGTGTGGTTTCGAGGCAATGGTGTGGTAATGGTGAGGCCGTGGACCATATTTTCATTCTTGCAAATCACTGGTGGTCCACAGACCACAGATTAGGAACCACTAATTTAAACAGAACTCGTTTGCTGATGGGAATAAACATAGATCCTTGCATTTTAATACTTTCCTTATGAGTACCTCCATTTCAAGCTGTATCCATTGTAAGCCAAATAGCAGGTGAAGGAGAAAGAAGTGGGAACATATCTCCTCAGCTTTGCTCAGTGCTTGGGAAATTTACATTTTTTTTAACTACAACTCCCAGAATCCCCCAGCCAACATGGTTAGTGTCTATGCTAGCTGGGGTGATTCAGGAGCTACAATCCCCTTTCTAAAAATATTTGTAAGAGAGACAATAGCAATTGAGGATAGTGATTTGGTTTTCAAGCACTGGCAATGTAGGACTGTAGATTTCAAAGTGTTTTCTACATAGGAGTCAGCAAACTTGATTTGCATGATCCAATTTGTTTTGTTTTGTTTTGTTTTACCTTGAGAGCCACCAATCAGAGTTTGGTGCAAAAGACAGATATATTAGAACTAAGGACTGCAGAAGCCTAGAATTTGTTTTCCCGAGCAGAATTAGCAGTCCCTAAAAAAACCATTCTTGTCTGCACAAAGTTTTCTGCAGTATGATTTAGGGGTGCTAAGAATAGGAAAATTATTTTCTTCCTGCTATTATTATATAATTGGGAGTGAGAAATCTTTACTACTTTATTGCTTGTCTCTCTTTAAGAAAAAGATCATAAGGCTGAGAGGTACAGAATGTCAGAAATCCACTACAAACGTGTAGTAGCCACAGGGAATGCATCAGGAGCCTCATCATGGATCTGTAGCTGTAAAGAAGGCATTAGAACCCAACAAAACATAAGGACCCAGCAAGAGTAGCCTATCTGTTGTGCCCAATGGCTGACATTCACCCTGCCTACCTACATGTTGATTTCCAGGATGTGGAGCAAATTATGCAAACTAGATATAATGTCCTTGCATGTGTTGTGTGTCTCCTTTATTTTTCATTTCATTGTGCTGGCCAATCCCACTGCACTCAAGTCTCCCTAAGTAATTTCTAGGAGGAGCCCCCCCACCCCTTGTGCCGACAGGAGTTGAAATTCGGGGAGAACATAGATGAGCTTTGAATCCAGGGAAAGTGCAGATGAGCCCCCTCTGTCAGCTCCAGCTCCCCATGCGAGGACATGAGACACAAGGATGGTAAAACATCAAAAACATCCGGCATCCCCTGAGCAACTTTCTTGCAGATGGCCAATTCTCTTATACCAAAAGTGACTTGCAGTTTCTCAAGTCACTCCTGACACAGAAAAAAAAAGTAATTTCTAGCCATGGGGTAGAAATGCTGTTTTCACAAAGGTGTTTTTTTTTTCTCATGAGGAGGCATGACTCATCAGAAAAGATAATAACACTTTATAAGGTAGAAGGCAGCATGAAAAGCGGAAGACTACATTTCAGATGAACAAACTCAATCGAGGAAGCCTGAGCCCTAAGTTTGCAAGACCTGAGCAGGGCTGCTGACTACTATAGAGTGATTTCGAGATCTCTCATTCATGGGGTCACCATAAGTTAAAGTCGACTTGATGGCAGTTAATATTTATTTACATAAGGCATAAACTAAGCTATTAGACTGACATAATAATAATAATAATAATAATAATAATAATAATAATAATAGCTGGCAATATGCCTTGGTAAAACCTGGCAAGGTCTCAGCCCTGTGCTCTCTGCCCCCACACTCTGAATGATTTTCAGTACAGTTAAATAAATAAGAGGTAATGTGTGGGCTGAGAGGTTGGAGAAAGAAGGCATTCTCTTGGTTGCACTTAGAGGTATTTTTTCTTAATGAGATAATAGCACTGTAGCAATTCCCCTGGTTTGGTTTCCATGGCAGGGAGCCCCTCACAGATGCATAAGATTTACAGGTCCCTGAGAATCTCCCTGAGGCACAGGATGTGTGGCAAAATCTGTGTAAACGGGATGTGAGTTGGAAGGCCCAAGCTGGTGGTGGCCGGGGAGTTCAGCAAAACAGCTGTAGTCCAGGTTTGTTAAGGAGCAATCAGGGAAGCTGTAGACTGAATCAGCCTCGGGCACATTTCCCAGGTAATTTTCTCCCATCTCACTCAGGTTTTCTTGCAGGACTGGGAGTCCATAAGAATGGCTTTCTCCTTGAACAGAGAGGGGGCAGTACTCCAAGGGGACAGAAGTTAGGGGGCTGAGGAAAAGGGCATCAGCTTCAGTTGCTGTGCTGTAAACTGCACCCTGGGCTTCGTTGCAAGAACTCAATGAGTCTGTCTCACATTCAGGCTCCATTTCACTGTAATAGAAGCTCACTTGAGGACTTTGATTTGGTGACTTCTTATTGGTCCCCTTGGCTGACCGAATATCCTTCTTGTATTTCATCCTTCTGTTCTGGAACCAGATCTTGATTTGCCTTTCTGACAGCCTGAGAAGCCGAGCCATCTCCAACCTCCGTGGGCGGCAGAGGTACCTATTAAAGTGGAACTCTTTCTCCAGTTCCACCAGCTGTGTATGAGTGTAGGCCGTGCGGAGTCTCTTGGAAGAGGAAAGGGGTGGTGGAGATCCAGGGTCTAAAGGAAAGGAAAGATTCTGTTCAGGTTGAACTCCTGATAGTATCAAGAGAATAAATTTAATGTCTCACAAAATATTTCTACTGTAAGAAACCAACATTTAAAAAAATGTCTATGCTGATTTAAGATGAAATTAGAAGAAACTTGCAAGTCAGATGGAAACAGCCTCGTGGATCACATTTGTCCTGAGATTCAGAGGCTCTCCAGACCTGGTGCTTACTTTACAAGTACCACCAGCCCTCCGTATCCACAGATTCTGCACCCATGGATTCAATCATCCATGGCTTGAAAATATTCACCAAAAATATCCAAAAAGCAAACCTTCATATTTGCCATTTTACATCAGGGACATAATATTACTATACAATTGTATATAATGGGACCCACTGGTGGCCCAAGGCTTTAATGTAGAGAGGTGCCTCAAGTACTGGACACGACATATAGCCACTGACAGCCTATCCTCCATGTATCAAACCATCCCATTTGAAGTTGTCCAATTTAGCAGTCACAAATCACAGCATCATCATCATACACCTAAATCTGATTGGCTGTTTAGGATTGTGACATCATCTTGTCCATTCTTATCACTGGATGAGATCACCTGAGCAATTCATCTAAGAAGGAGGGGAAAGTGCAAATGAGAAGGGTAAATAGTCCCCAAAAGACAAAGGTAATAATTGTGCCAATTGTTATTGGGAGAAGGGAATGAGAATTCAAACTGGGGTTTCAGTATCTCTTTCTTCTCCGTAGAAACTGCAGAATAATCTGTGTTCTTGAAAAAGTACATTTTTAATATCTTGGTTTTAAATTTGCAAGGAATTCAAATATTGCCTGTCTGCTTACCTAGCTATCTAGCCATCTTCTATTGCTACATCCTGTGGTCCAATTGACAAGGTTATGGGAACCTCACTATAAATGGGAACCCACCAGTAACCAAATGTAAGGCTTATATCTTTGAGTAATATAAATAAAAGAAAGAAGGTAATGAAGGGAGGGAGAACGAGAAATTCATGACCATTTCAAATAAATGTTGCTGGAAACCCATTAGTTTAAACCAAACTTCCCCTCTAGATCTGCTGGGCATCAACTACCATTATCACCAGCAAATAGACAAGATGGATTTCTATTTGAATACACCAGGAAGACATCACATTGAAGAAGACTGTCCCACATGCACATGGACAGTAAGCAAAGGATGAGACAGATGAAAGAAAGTACCTGCAGAAGGAAGGCTACTGTTGCGCTTGGTGTTGTGTCTTGTTCCCTTCATCCATGGGAAGACTCGCTTTGGTGGGTGGCTTTTATGCACGTTGCGAGTGCCATTGGTGGAAATGTCACAAGGACTGGAACTGGTAACCAATGGAGGATGCTGAGACCTTGAGGTCTGGCTGTCATTACTGTTCTCTAAGGATCTCATTTGGTCTGTTGGAGACCCTGTAGATATTTCTGGCTCCTGCTGTACCAACAGAGCAGGAAATTGCTGCTGACTAAAAGAATCTCCCTTAATGAGATCGTGGTGCAAATTGCATTCTGAGGATTCCTGGTCATCTTCATGAGGAGCTTTTTGCATTTCCTGTTCTTGTCTGACTCTAGGGATGGGGAAGGAGACTGACACCTTGAAATGAAGGCAAAAGGAATCCAGAAAACAGAACCCTGGTTATTACTGCTCAAGAAAGGCAATCCTCAGTGAAATATTGCAGAAGCCAAGGGCAAACATCCTCAATGACCTTGCTCTCATCTATTTGGACAACAACACTGGCCAGCTATTCTGGCCTCTGGGGACAAATCTGCTATGAAAGGAATATGATCTTTTAAAAATGACAATTGTTTGAGTTTCAACATGTCTTGTGTCGAAATAAATCCACTCTCATAAGGTATATTGACAAAAGTTATCAAAAACACACCAGATACTTGTTAAATATATTTGTGCATCAGTAACTTATTTTTAATATTTAGTGTTTGACAGTGGGAGCCAATGTGGTGTAGTAGTCTGAGTGTTAGACTATGACTCTAGAGATCAGACATAAAATCCCTACTCAGCCATGAAAACCCATAGGATAAAGTTGAACAAGCCACACTCTCTCGGCCTCAGAGGAAGGCAGGGACATCTGAATAAATTCAACCCATGATAAGGTTGCCATAAGTCACAAATGACTTAAAGGCACACAACAACAGCAACAAATTTGACAGTACCTGAAACTAATATATTATTTATTATTTGGCAGTATTTGACTGATGGCATAAGTGGATTCTAGCTTTCTATGTAGCTTTGTGTGGAATAATGTTCAACAGCTGCCCTATATGGTAGCATTAATATTTAGTTATTTGACACATGGGATCCATCATAAAATGCTATAGCGCAGAATAGAATAGTATTATTCAGTGTCCGGGTCAGCCACATGTCTTTTCAGAATCCTTCATTCAATTCAACGTCTCCAAGTATTCCATAGCACCTGAACCAAATCTGCCCCGTGTCCTGTATGATTCCCAGTCCCATTCTAGGATATATAATAGCATTTGTTAGCCAAACATTTCTGAGAATTTATTACAATTGGTATTTGATAACTTAAAGGAACTACCTTAAGAGGAAGAAAAGCCACAAAGTCTCTAGCTCTCTGGGCAGTTCACATTCAGAATTTGGATTCTCATTCCAAAACCAAAATCTGAACATCAGAGATTGACATCCTGGTAAAATCTGGGCTATTCACTCCATGTTCTGCTCTTTCCACTATCATGATTGATAGTGGAAAACTCCTTCTGAAGAAAAAAATGTTGGAAAAGCCCTTTGATAGGTTCACCTTAGGGCTGCAACAGATTGGAAATGACTTGAAGGCACACAACAAACACAACCATCACAACATACACAAAACTATAATTCCCACAGTTCGTTGAGATGGAATCATGACAGTTCAAGTAGAAATCAAACTGATATAACTTCAGTATACATAAATTCCATGCCAAGCTGTAGTTACTGAATGATGATGATGATGACGAGACATCTAAGCAGCCTCCTACAACCAGAGGCGGCCCTAGGTAATTTTCAACAGTAAGCAAACAGTATTTTGGTGCCCCCAACCAACCAATTCACTGATATATATTTTATGTTCATCGTGGGAGTTCTGTGTGCCATATTTGGTTCAATTCCATCATTGGTGGAGTTCAGAATGCTCTTTGATTGTAGGTGAACTATACATCCCAGTAACTACAACTTGCATATGTCAAGGTCTATTTTCCCCCAAGAGCGCCTCAAGAGCGCCCCTGGGCAAAATCAACTATACTGCAAATGCTTACTTTGTGTAATGGGTTGAGCCGCCCCTGCCTACAAACAGCAGCTTCAGATGAACTGGGCTGCAATTTGCTGGATTCCCTTCCTTCTACAGGCAGAGACAATGTTAGGTAATAGCTCCTTTGTTTGACGTGAAACAGCTCTAGATTTTATACTGAACTTTTAAACTGCTATTCAGAGGACTGAACTGAATTTGCAAAGAAGATTTAGCAGCTTTGAACGATCTGAAATAAAGCCCAGAGCAGATCTGGTATGGAAGTCACTAGTTGTCACTGGCCAGAGATATATTCTGAGGGATGGCCAAGTATTCACTGCTGCTGGAAAATAGATGGGAAAGGGCTGCAATTCTAAGTATGCTTACTAAGAAGGAAGCCCCACTGGACAGAGTGGAGCCTACTTCTGAATAAACAATCAGAGCATTGCACTAAAATAGGTTTAAATATTAATTTAGGTGTCAGAGCCAGAATGGTGTTGTGGTTTGAGTGTTGAGCAAAGACTTTGGAAGACCAGATTTTGAATCCGCAATCAGTCATGGAAGCACAGTGGGACCTTGGACAAGTCATATTCTCTGGGACCCTTCTACACTTCCATATAATCCAGATTATCGAACCAGATAACCCACATTATCTGCTTTGAACTGGATTATATGAGTCTACACTGCCATATAATCCAGTTCAAAGCACATAAGCTGGCTTTTACTGTTTACATGTGAATGCCGAGTGTAACTGTTTAAATGTGTGTTATATTAATTGTATTGTTTTTGCTTATTGTTTTTGTTTTATAGATGTATTGTCGGGCTTGGCCTCATGTAAGCCATTCCGAGTCCCCTTGGGGAGATGGTGTTGGGGTATAAATAAAGTTTTATTATTATTATTATTATTATTATTATTATTATTATTATTATTATATATGGCCATGTAGAAGGGGCCTCACTCTTACAGAGCAAACCCTCTCTAAACAGGTCATGCCAAGAAAATTCTGTGATAGGTTTACCTTATGTCGCCATGAGTTGCAAATAGTCTGAAGGCCCATAACAAAGTAAAAGAGAAATCTAACTTCAAAACTGTTAAAAATTCCTTCAAGTGCTTTTCCACTATTGCTTTGGGGGATTGCTTTGGAAGCCTCAGTTCTGCCTCTCATGTGACTGGAAGGAGGGCAAATTATGGCTTGACTGAGTTCAGATGTGCCCCTGTGTAGAAAGTTAGTAGAAATCCATCATTTCCACTAGCATAAGAAGCAACATTTCTTCTCCCACCCTGAGAACACCCAGTTCTTATTGTTTTTGTTCAGGACGGGGGAAGTGAGGCACCTTATGCTAGAGGGAACAGTAGGCTTGTACAAATCCCCTAAAACATCTGAAGTTGCTACCAAGGATATGCTTGACAAGCAAGGGCAACTGGTGGCACCAATATTATTGTTGGCAGAGATTAATAATACTTCATGGCTTAAGAGAGCTATCCAAGTGACTGAATCTATTTCAGGGAGGGATAAATCTCTCCCCCACCTCAGCCCTAAATAGGTTCAATCCCTTGGTTGGAGTAAAATCCAGGATAGCTTAATTGCCCAAAGAAGATTGCAAACAAGAGCTAATGTCATACATAAGGAAATACTTCCCACAGTATCTCCCATAATTTTGTATACCTGATGGACATATTTGCACTCTACATCTTACGTATGTATACTGACTAAACTGAGACTTGTGCCGGCAGGACTGCTGACCAAAAGATCAGTGGTTCAAACCCAGGGAGCAGTGTGAGCTCCCGTCTGTCAGCTCCAGCTTCTCATGCGGGGACATGAGAGAAGCCTCCCACAGGATGGTAAAACTTCCGGCCATCTCCTGGGCAACATCCTTGCAGACAGCCAATTCTCTCACACCAGAAACGACTTTCTCAAGTCACTCCTGACATGAAAAAAAACTGAGACTATCACACTTTGACTGCATCATGAGAAGACACGAGTTACCAGAAAAGACAATCATACTTGGTAAGGTTGAAGACAATAGGACTAAATGAAGATTGCATATTCTTTTTCTGAATTATTGTCATCTGGCAGACAGTACAGGGTGACAAAAACAAGGACAAACAGAACAAGGACCTAGAGCTGTAGCTATGTTGAAGTCTGTGGTTTCACAATGATGTGGCATTGGGGTCTATGTGGTGGTGGTGGTGGTCATGGTGGTATGTGTGTATGTGTGGAGGGAGGGATGTGTTGTTTTGTGGTGTGTGCAGAGGAAGGCATGCAATTCCGTTGTGCAATAGCACAATGACAAATAAAGCTATTCTGTTCTATTTCAGATAGAGAGAGTCAGTCAATGAAGCCACATCCCTGAATCTGCAAGACCTGAGCAGGACTGTTTATGACAGTGTGACTTGACAATCTCTCATTCGTGGTGTCTCCAAAAGCCAAAGCTGACTTGAAGGTGGTTAACAAGTTCATTGTACATTCAATAGATAAAGTCACCATTATTTCTATTAGTGACCTAATAATAAACACTATCTCTACTATCCCCATTTCTTTCATTTGATATGTTCAGAATCATGAAAGATGTCCGTCTTTCTTTCTTTCTTTCTTTCTTTCTTTCTTTCTTTCTTTCTTTCTTTCTTTCTTTCTTTCTTTCTTTCTTGAAATAAAAGTTAATGACTCTTCAAAGGCAGGATGACTGTAAATATAATTTTACTATCATTGGAAATGCTGCATGGTAGAAGAATGGAGATTGCGCTACAGAGAGGTCTGTATTTCATAATTGCTATTGATGCCTATGTTAGAAGTAATTGCTTGTTTCATGTAAATACCGAAATCGTTCATGGAATAATATTTGGCTTGCAGCCAATACAGGATCTATTGACAGCAAATGAATGCAGTTGAAGTGGGTGAAAAAAAAAAGCAAGAGGTATTTGTGAGCATTTCCTCACTCACCCCATGACCTTAGATTCTTCAACAGGCAGGTGTGCATAGGTGTGTGTGTTGATGTGTGTGCATTTTAAAAAAAATGAAACTGTATTCGCCTTAGAGAGATGAGCAGAGGTTATCGGGAAAGTCATTGGCTTTGTGGAAATGGTGGCAGCAGGCATACAAAAAATCTCAGAAAGGAGTATTTGATTTAGCAAGAGCAATGGGAGCTAATGAAATTAAGTTATCTGGTAAAGCTCTGTGAGCAGCTGCTATTTCAGGAAGTGAATTGGTCAAAAGTCTGCTTTTGTAGTATGAAAATTCTGAGACAGAAAGAATAGGGCATACCATGCACTTTACCGAAATTGGTATTAGAAAAAAATTATTTTTTGCACAAAGGAAAATTTAAATTCTGAATGTTGAATTCATGAATATATACATAAATGTATATTTGAATGTTCTATCTTTAGCATTCACATTCACCAAGCTTTTGACTAGTAAAGAAATGCAGTACAAGAAGTAAATGTGGAATATGTGCAATCGACATTTGGAATGGCCCGGTCTACAAGTTTGGATCGTGTGATTTTAATGTTTTTATTACGT